AGTAATTTTTAAAAAAATATTTATTTATGCATATAAGAATTGGGGTACAGGCCAGAGATGTGGTGGTGGGGGTCAGAGGATTCACCAGAGACAGAATGGGGAACAGAACAGGCAGATCGACTGAAGTACATAGTTGAGGGGAGCAGTGGGCGAGACAGGAGAGGTCTGCTGCGCCATGTGGATAGCTCCGCTGCTGGCCAGCATCGAACCCGCACTGCAGAGGCTGCGGACAGTTTCACAGAGCTGCACTCAACCACCTGTGCCACCAGGGAGGCCCTGTACTAGTAATTTTTATTGTGGAATAATATTCTATTATATGAATATACCACATTTTATTTATCCACTTACCAGTGCATGCACAGTTAGGCTATTTCTACTTTTTGGCTATTATGAATAATACTGTTATAAACATCCAAACATATTTTTTATGAGAACATATATCTTCAGTTCTCTTGGATATATACCTAGAAGGGGCTTTCTGCTGCTGGTTATATTTGGAATTTTACATTGCTTTAAAGTAAGGACAGTTTTTATAGTTTGTGTGCAACCCTTATACATATGTGGTCATTGCCAACCTTAGTACCATTTCCATGGTACTCTACTCATGTAGAAAGTGCATAAATATTTAACTTGCAGTTTTACATAATATGTTTGGATAATAGTCCCTTATGCAACTCTTCAGACTTCCCATTAAATACCCATAAATATATAGAAAAAGATGGAATCAATAAATTCTGGGAGGGACATGAACTCTGTTGAAAGAACAAAATTTGCCAAACTAAGCTTTTCTCTCTGCTTTAGTTACATTTTGTGCTTCTTCCTAGTTTTCACCACCCACGGAAAGGAGGGAGAAAGAGTACCTTCCCTGGTATTCAGGGAATTCATAATTCAGAGTTTATAGTAGTAAGTGTGATATAGTGGTGCCATCTATTTAGTTGAATGAAAATTGAGATTATATTAGAAGATCTGTCAGAATACAATGGAAAAAAACTGAAAGGGAAAAATAATACTTGATTGCCAAAAATGATAACCCGGTTAAGAAAAAAACAAGAACCTTTGAAACAGAAACTTTACCAAAGACGTAATTGAAGAAAACTCTCCTGAGCACTAGAAAAGCCAGGGATATGTTAGTGAAAATTTTGGATTCCAGGACAAATCAATAAAAGATACTTTAAAAAAAGACTATTTGAGTAAAAATTGTATGTTAAAATGAAAAAAATCCAGAAACATTTAGCATATGATCTAGTATCCCAATGATTGAATAAAAGCTAAGAAAAAAATTGTAAAAAAATATTAAACATTAAAAGTGATGGGTGGTGATACTCAACATGACTTTTTAAAAATATTTTCTATTTAAAATGCTCTACTATACGTAGGAGCTACTTAGTTTTCAATGTTTTTAAAATAGTTTTTTTTATCTAATTAAAATATTTCATAAGCCATAAAAAGGTAAAGTCAATATAGACAATTTAGTATTTGTCCTGTAGTTACAATGACTAGAAGGAAAAGCATGAAGTCTTAACAGTGGTTGCCTTCTTTTTTTATCTTGCAGATTTTATGTAATTAGCCTCATGTTGCTTTATAATAGAAAGTGTACCTTATCCAAAAATAAAAATTTGGTTTCATTAATTAATGACATTAGAAAGCACAGATGTTTCTGTTTATGAATGATAGATGGATCTGACCCACTTGAAATATATCCTTTCTATTCAGAAATTTTCATTTGATGGATACATTTATTAAAGTGTTGCAAAACATGGAAGAATTCAACATTTACGTGGTCATCAAATATTTAAAGAGTGGCTACCCTATGCCTGCTGCTTAGAGTACAGTGAATAACTAAGACATATAACTAAGACATAGTCCCCATTCTTATGCAGTTTAAAATTGAAACTTTGAAAACCGTTGCTAAAGCTGTCAAAGAGGCAGTGGATGGAACGTACAGTACACAACATTGGATGGAACATCCAATATTTTTCTTGACCAACCTGGTCAAGGGGAACTAGGAGGGCTTTCAGAGGAAGTGCAGTATCACAGTTAGTCAGAAGATTTAGTGAATCATTGTTCCATGAAGTTGAAATAGTCTTTGCTGAGATCAGGGGTGATCTATGCTTGGGAACCAGGAACAGATGAATACACCAGCAACAAAGTTTGCTATTGCAGAGTGATGTATGATAAAGGCTGAAATCAGTAGTTTGGACATGCAAGACCTTGTCAATAGGCTAAGGAATTCAAGTTTTGTCTTATGGATAATGAGAAACCATTGGAAGGCGTATTAATTTCGTAGGGTTACCATTAAAAATTACCCACAAATCTCGCAACTTAAAGCAACAGAAATTTATCCTCTCAAAGTTTTGGAGGCCAGAAGTCCAAAATTAAGGTGTTGGTTCCTCTGGAATCTCTGGGGAGAATTGACTTCATGTTCTCTCCAGCTTCTGGTGGCTGCTCCCAACTCTTGACATTCTTCAGCCAGAGGCTTTATTACTCTCAATTCCCATACATTAACATATCTTTCCTCAGTGTCTTCTTTTTCCATTTTTTTCTAGGGCATTTATTGTATTTAGTGCCTGCCCTTATCTAGAATAATCTCACATTGAGTGCCTACTCTAATTATATCTGAAAAGGACTTTATTCTTTTTTTTCCCTGTCATACAACAGTGGTTTATTGGCATTTTAAAAATTTTTTTGCATCATTGTTCATTTTTTGCACAATATTTGATTTCTCCTCTCAAGTGTTGTCCCCATAAAATTACCACCACCAGGACACCTGTGAACCTCACCATAGACTCTTGTGCGCTTCCATCCCACTTTCCCACCACCCCCCATGAATGTCTTCAATATATAGTTTGACTGCTAGATTTGTATTTTTTCCCCGATTCCTTGTATGGTTTCCCTATGTTCCTCCTATAAGTGAAACCATCCAATATTTTTCTTTTTCCTTCTGACTTCGCTGAGCATAATCCCTGCCAGCTCCATCCATGTTGCTGCAAATGGCGTAAATTTATCTTCTTTGATTGCTGAGTAGTATTCCATTGTGCATATATAGCACATCTTCTTATCCAGTTACCTGTTTTGGGGCATTTAGGTTGTTTCCATATTTGAGCTATTGTAAATAGTGCTGCGATGAATACAGGAGTGCAAGTATTCTTTTGAATTCAATGTTTTTTTGTCCTTGGGTAGATTACTAGGAGTGGAATCACTTGGTTATATGGCAGATCAATTTTTAGTAATTTAAGTTTCCTCTACATGGCTTTCCATTGGACCAGTTTGCATTCCTACCAGCACTGTAAGAGGATTCCTTTATCTCCACATCCTGGCAGCATTTGCTGTCGTTAGTTTGCTGGTGTGAGGTGATATCTCATTGTGGTTTTTAAATTTCCCTTGTTATAAGTGATATTGAGCATTTTTTCATGTGCCTGTGGCCATCTACATTTCCTCTTTGGATAAGTGTCTCTTTGGCTCTTCTGCCCACTTTTTGACTGAATTCTTTATTTTGTTTTTGTTGAACTGTGTAACCTCTTTGTAGATCTTTGATATCAGTCCCTTACCAGTTTTATGGAGTACAAATATTTTCTCCCAATCTGTCGGTTGTCTCTTTGTCTTGGTCACTGTCTCTTTTGCTGTACAGAAGCTTGAAAAGGCCTTTATTATAATTAAGGTCATATTTTGACTTCAGGGTGTATGTATCCTTTGGGGACTATGGTTCAATATTACAGGGAATTTGAATGAGTTAGACTTATATTCAGAGGAATTAATTGTTCTGTCTACCATGTAGATAAGGGATTTGAGGGGCTAAAACTGAGCACATATGGATCAGTGGGATATTAGTGGCTTCAGAGAAAGAAAGCAGAGATAAGTAGAGAAAGTATTGTGAGGATGGTTGGTTATTGTCAAGGGGTGAAGAGAGCAGGTGGTGACTGAGGACAAACCTGGTGGTGAGGAGAGGCTTTTAAATAATGGGAGACATGGAACATTTTTCATGCAAATGAGAAAGACCTTGTGCCACAAAGGGAAGTAGTTGAAAATATAAGAACGAGGGGCAAAAAGGTGGAGATAATTGTTGTGTTCTGATGAAGGGGTGGGGAATGAGGTCCAGAGCGCAGCCTGAACTTGACAATACATATATCTGATGGCTTCTAGACATTTTAGCAGCTCTGTAAATATGATGATGGTGACTCTGAGGAAGGTGGTTACTCCTGTTTGAGGCCTCTCCAAGTGACAGGTGCCACACAGATTATTTTCCGTGAGTTACTCATTTGATCTTTGATATAGCTATATTTATGGTCTTGTTTTATTGCTCAGAAAACTAAAGCACAGACAGATTGAGTAATTTGCCATGCAGATAATAAATAGTGGAGTGTGATTTCCTCCCAGGTAGTGACACTGCTGCACCCGTGTCAACAAGCCATGTCAACACCACGTCTCCTTTTGAAGGGAGAGGCATAATCAGTGCGTCTGTACTTTGGTGTATTTTAACTTTGATGGCAAATACTGCACATTACAAAGCTATTATCTTGCCTGTTTTTTTTTTTTTTCTCGTACATTACCTCTTGTTTAGCGGTTGCATGTTTAAAGTTGAAAATTAGGTTGAGGAGAGGAGCAAGAAGAGTTGTAGTCCAGGTAGAAGCCATGTGTGTCAAGGTGTGTCAGTCTATCATTTGAGTAGCCCATGTTAGTGGGATGTACCGGCCAATAGTCTTTATCCTTTCCCCTGTTCACAGGGGATGCTGGCAATAGACAGGACTTTAGAGAATTTGCCATGCAAATTAATAAATGTAAGGATTTCCAATAACTTTGATCATTTATTTGAACTAAAAATTGGGTCATTTAAATTGTGATGCTGTTTTTTATCTTTTCAGTCCCTCCTGAAGCCATTGGCTTCTTGTCTGCAGTTGGGGTCTTTATTGTTCTTCTGGCCGTCCTCTTCCTCTTCATCAACAAGAAGCTGTGTTTTGAGACCATAGGAGGCCTCCCTTGTCTGGAGCAACACGGGAAAAGAAAGTACTCTAAAGACAAAACTGGAATCCACGAAGGGCTGGGTAAGCATTCTGCTTCACAGTCTTCTGAGACTGACAACCTGCTTTGGTTTAGGTTGGGGAAGGAGTGACACTGTTTCCAGGATGGGGCCATTAAGAAATCACACATGAGCTGCTCGGCAGCCACAGCGGCGGACATGATGAATGGCTATTACTGAAGAGTACATTAGCTTTATGAAAGCAACGCGCTGCTCAGAGTTCGAAGAGCAGATGGGAAAAGGCTGACCGCCACTTCCCGTCTTCTTAGCTTGTTAGATGTCTGTGCTGAGTTTCCCTCTGACTAATGCTGGAAGGAAAAAATTATTTTTTGATTGACAAGAACCTTGTTATGTTTTAGTCTTGTTATGTTGGAACAGTGTTGACATTTCACTTCAGTTAGCTGTTTTTGAGATTTTCGGTGCTCAGGACCACTTCTCATCTTACGTGGCAGCATTTACTTTTCCGAAGGGAGGTTTTTTTTCTCATTAAGCTTTCTGAATATACTACATCATTTACTAACTGCCTTAAAAAAAAAAAAAAACCTTAAAGGAATAATTGGCTTCCTGCTTTTACAGGACAAATTCTATTTTCACTTGGGGCAGTGTAGAATTATGCGATAAAGGGTAGTATTACAGAATGATGTCTATAACCACACAGAAACTGGGCATTTAGAGATAGTGCTCTTACCTATTGCGTAATAGCTTTGCTCTATTTTAAAGAAATTACTCTGGTTTTCACCCTCCCCTCCAATATGGGGCAACTAGTGGAGGAATAACCTTACATTATTATATGGAGCAAAGGCAAGGCCTTGAGGGGCAGACCTTCTAGGCATTCTACTTCCTTGGTATGTTCTAAGTGATCCTGGATGTAGGCAATATTTGTTTTTTTGATACAGCAGTTTTTTTAGCCATGATTCAGTTTTTGCTTTGCTTTAAGAAAAGGCATAATTCAGGAATGCATGTGTATTGATGATATGTTTCTTCATAATAAATCCCCCTCAACTTTGAGAGTTTAAAACAATAAGTGCTTATTATCTGATAGCTTCCGAAGTTCGGGAATTTGAGATTGACTTGGGATTGGTTATAGAGTATGGTTTTTCACGGGGCTGCAATTAGAATTTTGGCTGCAGCCATCTGAAGGCTTGACTGGCGTGCATACTCACGTCAGCATGGCAAAAGGTCTTAGAGCCTGTCTTCGTGGAGCCTTCCACCAGCTACTTGAATCTCTATGACCTGGTAGCCAGCTTCCCCCAGAGGGAGAGAAACCAGAGTGAGGAGCAAAGAAGGAAACTCCAGTGCCTTTTATGACCCAGTCTGGGAAGTCACATGTTGTCATTTCTACTACATTCTAGTTATTCATGGAATATAGCCCACCGTTCAAGGGAAAGGGAATTAGGTTCAACTTTTGGAGCAAAGAATATCAAAGAGGGCAGGGACATATTTTAAAATCACCATAGGAGATGATAATGGAGAGGAGTATAAATTGCAATTTTGGCAACTGATTTGGCATTGCTGCTGTTTCTGTGGCCTTATTTTTTGAACTCTGCTTGGGACATCTGACTCATCACTTGAAAACGGGATGGAAGGTCTTAGTTTGTCAGATAAAATCTGGGACATACAAGTGGTTTAGCTACTAATGTTCTAGCTAAGACATAGGTAAGTAGCATGAACTCACTTCTGCTTGGTCATGGGATGCTTTAGAGTGAGGATTCATAGTGATTCTTGCAATTTATAGCAATTACACCCTTTAGCAGCTGACTGTCACCAGTTGTGTGATCTTGGAAATGATAGGACCATTTTTTGTTTTTCATCAATATGCTTTTATTTTGATTGCACATTGAAATAATATATTGTTAAAATACACATGGGTATGTGAGCCTTGAACAACATTTATATACATGCACAAATCCATTTATATACTTGGCTTTTCCTGTAAATGGACAATGTAAAATTAAGGTATTGGTAAATATAGTATATTACTGTAAATATTTTTTCTCCTTATGATTTTATTATTTAATTGAGATACCATTGGTTGCATCCTCGTTAGTGTTTTGGAAGTACAGGATCTCTCCCTTCAGGTGTAGTCACCTCACCCACCCCCAAGCACTCATACTCCTCCACCATAAAGGTCCAGAGCGCTCTCTTCCCTCCCAGTTCTCGCCTCTACCTCTGGTCAGCTTTCAAGAGCAGGTTTTAAAGTTTATCTTTTTCTGACCTTTGTTTGTTTTTTCTATATTCTACACATAAGTGACACCTTTCTCTGACTTATTTCGCTTTAGCATAATCTCTTCCTGCTCCATCCATGGAATCATTTTGAGCTTCATTTTCTTTATCTGCAATATATTCTTTCCAGAGTTGATGGAGAGTAACTGAATTAATTTTGTAAGGATACCAGCATGGTGCCCGTGCCTAAATCCAAATCCTTTAGCCTTGGTTGTGTAGCATTAACAAAATACCAGTCAAATAATGGCTTCCAGGTATACACACAAACACATTATATCATTTCTTAAATTGGGAGATTAAAGTTGGTGATGTTTTCTCCTTTGCAAACTATAAAAGGTACAAGGAACTAAAGTTAGAGCTATTTAAGATATTTCCTTTTTGTCATGTTTGACATGTTATCCGAGTATTTTAGAGACAATTATGAATTATACTTGCAAATAAGTTGAGGTTTGAAGATAATGTCGAAACAATAACAATAAAGCATGAACCAGAAGCTGTTAGTTCAAGAAATACTGAAAAATCCATGTCTCAAAATACCAGTGGGGTCATATGAAGGGAGTTTTAAAAATAGTTTAATCAGAAGAATGTCTAAATTACAATGTCTAAGAAGCAAACACCTTCATTTTGACATTCTCCCTTTAAAAGTTTGATTATCATTTGATCAAAAATCTTTGAAAAATGTGTAGATTTTATCTAACTTTTGATATTTGCCTTAATTATCATCCTTACAGCGTTAATTTCTTTGTGAACTGGGATATTCTTAACTGTATTTTGACAAATGTAAAGAAGTAAGGAAAGCAGCCTGGTGTGGTGGGAAGAAGCACAATGCAGACAGCTAGCGAGAACTTGTTTTGTCACTAATCAGTCCTGATATTTTGGGAAAATCATTTCTCTCTGGGCATTAAGTCCAAATTTGTGAATTGATGGGTCTTGAAGAGCATTCTCCTGATTCCTGTTGTGTGATCTTTTTGTTTCATAGGGTTGACCATCACAATCTGTTCTTTTGGTTTAAGTCTATGAAGGGGAGAGGCCACATTAAAAGTGACTTAAAACCAATTAGACCATCTTGCTCTTTAATTGAACCATATGGAGTTGCCATATTTATAGATCAAAAACTGTCCAAATATCAGCAATTATAATTTTTATGATCTAATATATGTGAGGTTTGAAGGAATAAAGTTACTTACGTTTGTTTGTGTGTTAGCACAAGAGAAGCAAGAGGGGACTTATTTTCTGAAACCATGTTGTCAGGAATTTACCTGATGAAAATAATTTACCTTCTTTAGGCTTATCCTTGGTATGGGGAATATGTTCCAGGACCATCAGTGAGTGCCTGAAATGTGGGATAGTACTAAATCTTTTCTGTATACACATAGCTGTGATAAAGTTCATTTATAGATTAGGCAAAGTAAGAAATTAACAACGAATAACAATAAAATGGAACATTTGTAGCAACATGCTATAATAAAAATTATGTGAATGTGGTCTTGTCCGGCCCCCCCCCACCGTTTTTCCTCCTCCTCTCTCTTCCCCCCATTAAAAAATCTTATAGTGGGTAATGTTTTCTATTTCAGTAAGGGGAAAAAGAAACTGAAACTGTTTCTTCCTAATAACACAGGTAGTAGTAATAGTTAGATAATGATAATGGATACTATCATATAACATCCACTCTTGCCATGCACCTGCTAAGTATGTTATCTGCATTATTTGATTTCTTTATACGAGGTAGTTTTGTTCACTGGTAATGATTGTTGTGGTGAGAGGTGTATACCTCTTAGAACAAAGAAGCCATTGTTCAGTTTTGAGATAAACAAATGAGTAAAAATAAAAATTCTGCAGTGAGATACAAGTTTTTAAGGAAGCCTAGTGGAGAGAGAATTGTGTTTTTTTATTACTGTTGCTTTGTTCCCCACCCCCAGCTTTCTTTACGTATCAAAGACATAATTTCAAGAGTGGGGCAAAGAGCTTCATGTTAAGAAGCAACAATATAGAAAGGAGAGAGCATTTAGAAAGGAGGATATGAGGGCATTTCCTCACAGCCAGGGAGGGTAAGAAAGCAGGAATGGCTTGGAAAGAGATTTAGAGGACTTGAAATATTGCCTGGCTCTTGGGAAGGATGGCAGATGTGGGGCGGGATCGGAGTGGTTGTGATGAGAAGATTAGAATCCAGTGTGGGGCCTGAAGACAAGGCAAAGGCAGAGAACCATGTGCTTCCCATCTGAAGCTGTGGCAGGAGTCTATCTCAAATGTTTTGAGAGTGGGCCTGGGATGGACAGTGGCATAGAATGTCCTGGAAGGGAGAGAAGTAGAGAGAACTTGAAAAGACTGTCCCGGAGTTTTTCATGGGAGAAGTTAATGGCAGCCAAGGATTTTAGAGGTTTCTGCAAGACTCTGTGGGGAAGAAAAAACAGCAGAGGAATGAGTTGATATGCCCACTGGGGAGCTGTTGCAACCTGGGCTGGGGCACCTTTGTATCAAAGGTTGGAGATGAACAGCCGAGGCTCCCTGCAGTCAGGACTGGCTTCATGGGCATGCAAGCTGTGCCATTGCACAGGACCCCACTATTAGCAGGGACCCTATGCTTGGCTTTTAATGATTTTGAACCATGGGCTCTGCATTTTCATTTTGTGTTGGATCTTGCAAATCAAACTTATGCTGCCTAGAATGGTCACCATGAGGTATTGCAGGTATGGACACTTCACAGGGAATGCTGTAGGGGCAGAGATCAGTTCCTCTGGAAATCAGGGGAACCAAATCAAGAACAACACATCATGATAAATAACTGTATATCTACGCGCCACG